CATATACTAAACAGTAGATAAATTTTTTTCCATTTTGTATTATTGGTTATATCTTGTAACATCTTACCATCAAATGTGCGATAATGAAGAATTTACTTTGATTTGCAGCTTTTTTTACATCTTCTTGATACTCGGCTTTTACTTGGGATTTTCTTTTTTTCACGTAAAGTATAAAATCTTACAAACTTTGACAAGAAGTAACTAGTATGTCAAAGAATAAGTACACCATACTCCTTAATGAAATGTAAATTCATTTGAAAAGAAACTCATTTTCAAAAAAGTAACGTATTTAGGCAAATTTTTTTAAACAATAATGCTGAAGCACTAGTATCTGATTCAATTTTGTCTGCTAATAGTAAAAATTAAACATTATTTTGTTCTGATAAAAAAATCTTGTCTCTTAGTATATGTTAAATGTTACTATACTTTTTTTTCTTATTTTTATTTATTTTTAAATTGAACCATTGAACCGAGAGTCTTTTTATGTGACGTCTTTTGTATATCTTTTTATATCTGTTTTGTGAAGCTAGAAAAGAAAAGAGTCAAGATAAAAAAATTGATGCAAAGGAAAAAAAACCATTATTTATATATTATTCAGCAAATCTTATGCGTTTACTTTTTATTTTTTTATCTTAAAATAATATTGTCCTATAAACTGACAATGTGAACTTAGATGGTATTTTTATAAAAAATTATTTTTTTCAATTGAACTTAGTAATTAAAGACATAAGTGGACGAAAGTACTATGTTACTCAAATATGCACTGGAGTGGGAGCAATTGGAAAGGAGGGGGAGGAGGAGGATGGATATGAAAGGGGAACAAGGGGGCGAAAAGAGCATTACCCTCCCATCCTCCTCCTACTTTTTAGAAAATTTCTGTTTTTATCATTCAATTTCAGATTTTAGCTGCCTTAGTTCCCTTTAAATTCCATTTCAACCCCTCTCCCATCTCCCAATATTTTTGACTTTCCTATTCCACTGCAAATATGGAATATTTGCAGCGGAAAAGGAATATGAGATATCTGGAATAAAGTTGGTTAACAAAATAAATTAAAATTTGAACACGCTTTTTTCTAGATAATTTTCTATAGCAAGTATATGTAAATATTTTCTGTTGCAAAGATATGTAAATATTTATGTATTCAATAGCATTATTAAAACTATATAAACAAATATATCATATATAAAAATAAACTAAATAATGGAAACTTCTATTTTTGCGACATTTATGTACTGATGTCTTCAGTTTCCAGATTATAATCTAAACTTATCTTAACTTAAGTAAAAGTATTACACTAATTTATTTTTTACTGTTTTGTAGTTTTTTTAGAATTATTAGTTTAAAAATAGATATTGTTTTTGTTTATGAAAGACGAGAGTTTTCTTTGATCACGTCATTCTATTTAGGTATTATAAAAATACACAAACTTAGTGCCTTTTAAAATTTACTGTTTTTGGTCTAAATTAATTTAAATTTTTATAATAGAAACTTCTAAACTTTCTTAATTGATATTTAGGCCTTTTGGAAATCATAGAACAGGTCCCTGACTTTTCGGTTAGAAGAAGGAGATTTTTGAGGCACAAATTGTAAAAAAGGGGACCTTAAAAACAAGTTTCAAATTTTTTTAGTTTAAAATTATTTTATATAACGAGTCAACTAATCAATGTGAATTGTATTCAATTTAAAAAAAAATTGCCTTAATAACCATTTATTGTAAATGGAATAATGAAACAAAACCAATACAAATTTCTTGAAATCAATCTTTTGCCTCAATGAAAGAAGTGGATTCTTAAATAGATAACTAATAGGCTTAGTTATCTATTTAAGAAGAACCGTGTATCATATTTTGAAAACCAGCTAAAATTAAGGCTTTTTTGACAAAAAAAATTTTTGTCAAAAAAGAAGTTCCCCGAATTTCAACCTCGTAAAAAGTGTATTAAAGTTGTTAAAGAGAAAAACATGCAAAGAAAAGGAATCAAACTGGTTGAAAAGCTTATAAGCTTTTTCTACATATATGTAGCATTGAAAATATAACGAACATTTTATTGTTTACCAACATCAAAGCTGGTGCTTCTTCAATCTAAAGATCAACATCTATATTACTTTATTAAAAATTTATAAATTGATTTCTGAATTCTACTCAATGGAGAAACTCTATTTAGAAAAATTCTTTAAGTGAATATACCAATAAATCGCACAAAAAGTTTTAAAATATTGTTATATGTCTAAAAGAATTCATATTTTTATGTCAAAAAATATTACTTAGAGTTTTATGACGATTGTTTATGATAAGTGTACCTTGTATACACAAATAACTTTTTCTGCTTTTAAATATTGAATGAGCATTCCATTTATTAGAATATCTTTCAAATTCTTGTGCGACATTTTTTATATTTTGTTGCGCAAAACTTAAAATAAAATCCAGTAAAACTGACTACTTGGTTATTTTTTAGTCTTCTTAAGAGTTTTCTTAATAAATAAAAGTGCAATTGGTAAAACAATGTGCGATTTCTTATACTTTCTGAAAAAAAAACAACCACAGAGCATGTAGCAGAAAATAGATTGGAAACTAATTGACACATTTTGATTCTGGTCTATAATCAAAAAGCTTTTTCAAACGTTTGACAAACGTTTTTAGAATCGAATTCAAAACTTGGAAAAGTTCAAGCAAAAAAACATTTACTTATTAGACATCAATTAGAAAGGCCTTGCTAAATAATTTGTGTTTCTTTTTAAATCACAATTTTTTTATTGTAGTATAACTATATTTACTTTTTTTAATTATTTCGAAGTATATTTACTTTTTATGTTTATTTAAAAAAGTTTTCACTTATAAGTATTTTAGAGGATATTTGTTTAATCCTTGTTTGATAAACTTTGTAAATAATTTTTTTCATCTTTCAATAAAATTTTATAATACTGAATATAATACTTTAATTATATCGAGTTTTTCTACATTTTAAAGAAGTATGTTTTATTTTTTAATAAGGTTTTTATATTTTAAGTTTATTTCAAAATACAAACTTAATTTTATTATAAAACTGGGGCCAATGCTATATACAAAAAAACGAAGTTTTTACCGTAAAACTCTAAATTTTTTTGCGCACCATACGGAGGTTTTGCGTAAAAAGCTAAAAAAAAAACAAAAATCCATTGCTATAAATATTGTTATAAGTATATTTATATATATTAAAAACAATATATATATATTTATATTTATTTTCACAATATGTATATATTTTTATAATAATATTTATAACAACTGATTGCTCTTTTTTTCTTTTTTCTTTTTTTTTTGCTGTTGACGCAAAACCTCCGGGTGGTGCGCAAAAAATTTCGAGTTTTACGGTAAAACATCGTTTTTTTTGATTATAGCATTGGCCCCTGTTTCGATAATATTGCAGTATTTTAGTTTTAACATTAAACGTTTATAAAATAAATCTTTACAAAAAATAATTTTTTTTTGTTTAAATTAATTTTATAAGCGTTTAATGACAAGTATTAAAAAGCGACTTAGCACTTTCTTTTATATATTAGTTCTTGATTTAAAGTTAATATAGTTCTCAGATTTCAAGATATAAAAGCATTTACAAACCTTATGTCTATAAAATATTATGTTTTATATTTCGCTGTAAAAATGACCATAGTTTTTACTTGAAAATCTTTTTACTTTAAATTGTTCAACGTAATTTTGATTCATCAATTTTGTTTTTTTTTTTCATCATTTTTCAACTATTAACATATTTAGATATTTTTGAAAAGTTTATATATATATATATATATATATATATATATATATATATATATATATATATATATATATATATATATATATATATATATATATATATATATATATATATATATATATATATATATATATATTTACCCATCATGTATTCAAACAAATTTGATCAGGATATATATATATATATATATATATTGGTTTTTTTAAACAATGGCAGAAAAATTTTTAAACTTTCAATAACTTTTATTTTTTATTTAAAAAATACGGATTTATAGATTTTCAAAAAATCAATTTGAATGCACCATTAGCTTCTAGTTGAGCAAATAAATTAAATTATTGTTTTTCTATTTTTATCCTTCTCTAAAATTAAAATAAAATTTTCTTCGAAAGCGCCGAAATAATTTATTATTTCGAAATAATTCATTAAACTTTCTTTGAAAAAGTTATTAAAAGAACAATAATTTTGTGTAATGAAAAACCCTTGGATATCGGCTTCCATAAAGATATCCAAAATAGAAACAAAAAGAAGATTTTGATGTTTAAGATTTTAGTTTTTGACAAAACATTAAAAAAAAATTCAACTTCACGTTTTTGTTTTTTATGCATTCTTTCTATTTATTTATTTTTTCTTTATCTTTGTTGACATTTTAGAATTAAAATAATAATAAGAATAAAAATTTAGAAATAAAAAAATAATAAAAACAATTTTTATTTAGTTTTAATTGAAATAATTTAAAAATAAATTTAGACGAAACTATTTTTTAAAGATATGTTTGATTTCACATTCTTCGATTTCTTTTTTTGGTTCTACACTTTCGTCAATTTAATAATGACGAGTTCTGAAGTACACACTAAATGCCAATGCATCAATTAAATCTAATGCCGCTGAATCATTTCGTTTACTTTCATGTTTATGAAATATAGTTATTCAAACTTTATTTTTGGAAATAATTTCAGGTAAACTTATTTTTACCCATCATGTATTCAAACAAATTTGATCAGGATTCTTTAGCACGCCTCTTTGCCACAATCAATTTACCCCAAACAATTAAAAATTTACCCCAAACAATTAAAAATACATTTTTTTGCAGAAGAATAAAAACAACTCTGATTTTCAAAAACAAAAATAAAGTTGTAAAGAAAAATAGTAATTGGTTTTAATATTTAATGTTCGTAACATCTTATTTGCTTTTCATCTTTTGCGAATAAACACCAAAAAAAAGTTGTTAAATATATATAAGCCTTTTCAGAAAATTTTTATTTATTGCAGTTATAGAGAAGAGAATTTCGAAGTTTTTAATGCGTTGAATTAATGTAAAAAAAAAAAAAATGTTGAAATCGGAGAGATGATGATTGGAAAGATGACGTATGACTGAAATGACGTATATGACTACTGTAAGTCTTTTTAAAAAATGTATTTTTTTTTATTATTAAAAAACTGTGTAAAATTAAATTATTCATTTTCTGACAGTTTAGTTGAGTTTCATTATATATTTGATTCATATGATTTAACATATCCATATGATTTAACAAATGATCCATATGATTAAACATATGTTTGGAAATATATGATTATATATGATTGTATAATTACATAATTTTTAATTATGTAATTATGTTTGCATAACTAAATAATGTATTTGGTGCTTAAAATTGTTTAATATCTAAAATAATTGTTTCATACCAAATAGAAGGAAAAAATACAATCTAAAACAACTCAAAACTTGGTTCATACCTATTAAGATTAAACATGCTTTGCAAATAATTGCAGAGAGTTTATACTTTTTTACATTCCGGAACTAAGTATATTCATCAACAAATATCCGATTTCATTCATCAGTTTCTTGGTAATTGCATTACAACTATTTAAAGAATCTGAGCGTCTTCTCAAATTCTTAAAGAAGCTGAACGACTTCTTAAATTCAGGAATTTTAAACTTTTCATAATAATAATTTTGGAAGATTATACAATGAAATTTAAAATATGTCAATAAATTAAAACTTATTTTAAATAATAAAAAAATGTAAATTACTTTTAAACTCATTAGCCACACATACGGTTAAAGTAGCTGAGATTTTAGAATTTAAATAGTTTCAGACTTAAACCACTGCCTTATTTAGAGGTGATTTAGACCGCTATGTCGCAGTGGTTATAATACATGTATATATATATATATATATATATATATATATATATATATATATATATATATATATATATATATATATATATATATATATATATATATATATATATATATATATATATATATATATATATATATATATATATATATATATATAGAGAGAGAGAGAGAGAGAGAGAGAGAGAGAGAGAGATGAAAGTTTGGCTTAGTTGAGGGTCTCGGTTAAGAGTCTCGAAACACAAACAATACAAAAAAAAAAAAAAACGTTTAAAAGATTTTAGCTACACACTTTTGATGAAACCTTTGTTACATATATTCCAAAACCCAAAATAATGCCATGTGTTACGCCATGTGTTTTTTTTTGTGTCTATAATGGCATAATATTATTGTCTTGTATTATATGTATTTCCATAGTATTTATGCCGTGTGCTGCACCTTGTGTTGAGCCAAACTTCCTATTTCTTATTATGGAATATATTTTTCGACATATTTTAACTAGTATTTTCCAAAAGTTTTTAAAAAATATATTTTATAAACAGTTGTAATAATTGTAAATAAAATACTTTTTTTCTTATTTTTAATTATTATTTCAACATATATGCGTATTTTCTCCAATTACCAACTGTCGAAGTAATTTCTGTTGAGAGAAACGTTTTTTTATTATTGTAAAACTCATTAAACAACAAAGGTAATTATTTTCAAAATACAAAAATATTTTGAATAAACGACACTACAGACATTTTGTAATTTTATTTTACTTTTTTGTAAAAATTGTTGAATAATACTGTTAAACAAATCTTTACAGAAAAAACGCAGGTGCATTTAAAATTTTAAGAAAACGAAAGAAAGGCAGTTTTGAATTTTAAATCTATCATTTTTTGTAAACATGTTGAAACTAAAAATACTACTAGAGTAAGAAGTTTTTTTTGTTAACCAAATGATATATATATATATATATATATATATATATATATATATATATATATATATATATATATATATATATATATATATATATATATATATATATATATATATATATATATATATATATATATATATATATATATATATATATATATATATATATATATATATATATATATATATATATATATATATATATATATATATATATATATATATATATATATATATATATATATATATATATATATATATATATATATATATATATATATATATATATATATATATATATATATTTATTGATAAATGTTGTATACTGCTGGAAATACTCTTGTCTGTTTAAGAGTAATCAATATCTTTTTTTAAAAAAACAGATCAAATTATATATGCCGTTGCAACGCTAAATTTGTATTTTTTATAACGGTTTTTAATTTTTACTTGAATAATATGGCTGATGATTGCCGAATGGCATGAAACTTTTAGTTCCATAATAAAGTTGTATTTTTTTCATTTAAATTATTTTAATATATATATATATATATATATATATATATATATATATATATATATATATATATATATATATATATATATCAGGATGATTTTTTTTGAAAATATAAGTAATTAATAAATAGCGATTAAAAAAAACAATAACATAAAAATAATGGTTAAATAAGAAGAATGAACGGATTAAGTTTTTTTTATATATATATAAATATATAAATATATATATATATATATATATATATATATATATATATATATATATATATATATATATATATATATATATATTCATAAAAACATAATAATTTTAGATGAATAAAATATTGGGTATAAGTAGATGTGTAAAGTTTGAATTTCATCTGAGGTCTGAGTTTTAGAGATCGAGTTTCACCAAGTTCCAGAAAATAACACGCTCAAGATGTTTCAATATAAAGTTGATTTGTTGCTTAAGTGTTGTGTTTTAGAGTTATAGAGCTTTGAGAGAGAAACGATAATTGTAGCACCTCTACTATTTTGGTGAATTGAATTAAAAGAAAATGAAAAAGGCATACATTAGACACAAAAGAAAGTGACTGATGAAAAGAAAACATGAATTTGAAATAAGTGTTAAAAAAAATTAAACATTTATTTAATTGTTTAATTTTTACTATTAAATGCTATTACACAAACGCATTAGTTATGTCTCTGTTTTTATATTTACTACCTTATTAAACATTTTTAAACATATACGTTTGAGTGTTGACTTTTTGGTATCCCAGTTTCCTATATAAAAAATAGATTAAAAATTTGTTAGAATTAATTTTATCAGCGTTTACTGACAAGTATTAAAAAGCAACTTAGCACTTTCTTTCATATATTAGCTCTTGATTTAAAGATAAATTAGTCCTCAGATTTCAAGATATCATCCTTGATATCCCTTATCCGTATCCCTTGACTTGCTGTGTCCCAAATATCAGTGAATTTTTTTTCTTCGAAAGTAAAATTCTTTGGTTTTTTCAAAATTTTTTAGTCCTAAGAGAACCATACTTTTATAGTGATTTAAAAATTAAGTTTTACTATTAATTTTTTTTAACTATTAAATTTTTTTTGAAAATAATATTGCTACAAAATGTCATAAAAACGACCTTTTCAATTTTTAGTTATTAATTTAATTTTTCGTATATAAAACTCAGGCAACTTATTAAAAAGCTTTAATACTTCTAAAACCTCTTTGAAATTCTGGTTCTTTTAAAACCCAGGTTGATATACTTTTGTAAGAAAAATCACTGTTATATCGGACAAAGCGTGTAATCTTGGGTCATGGCGGATGACCTTTTTTCGAATAGTAAATAAAACCAATGACTTTTCAGTTACTTTTAAACTAAAGCTCATCTATTTTTTATTAAGGAAACTGGAGATACTAAAAATTCAACAACCTAACGTATATACTAAAAATTTTCTCATGCTCTCGCACGTACATACTAGCACTAGTGTTTGTCTTTTACATGCATTATTCACTTTATTAAATTTGAAAATTCTGAAACACTTATTTAATATGCTCTAATTGATAAAGGTAATACTAAAATTTGAATAGGGTTTGTAATTTAGCAAACAAGATTAAATTGAAAAGAAGATTAGATTGAAAATCTTTAAATCTTAATCTGTTGCCAGACTGCAAAAGCACATTTTTTACTTAGTCAAAAAAAACTGCAAGAACGCATTTTTACTTTCACACCTATAAAATTGTACATATATATTTTTACGTAAAAAGTAAAGTTGTTCATGCTTTACTTAGGGCCAATGCTATAATCAAAAAAACGATGTTTTTAGCGTAAAACTCGAAATTTTTTGCGCACCACCCGGAGGTTTTGCTTAAACAGCAAAAAAAAAAAAAAAAAAAAAAAGAAAGAAAGAGCAATCAATTGTTATAAATATTATTATAAAAATATATACATATTGTGAAAATAAATATACATATATATATATATATTGTTTTAATATATATAAATATACTTATAACAATATTTATAGCAATGGATTTTTGTTTTTTTTTTTACTTTTTACGCAAAACCTCAGTGTGGTGCGCAAAAAAATTTCGAGTTTTACGGTAAAAACTTCGTTTTTTTGAATATAGCATTGACCCTTGGTTTCAAATTAACGTTACAAATACGCAAGTTATACGCGTGAATCGGAAGATCTTTTACGAGTCTTCCGAATTAAATTACTTTTAACCAAATCTTTTTCGCGCACAAAAAAATGCCAGCGTAATCAATTATCTTATTCTTTTTTCTATCTAGTAATTCTCAATAAATAACACGTCTTATTAATAAATTAACGTTTTATATAAAAGATTGATCTCAAATTTAATTAATGTAAAATTGTTTGTTTTTATTTGTCTGGGATATTTTTTCGACTCAAGTGATCTCAATCATTTGAAAGGTAAGATATAATATAATTGGTTTGATTTATGAAATATTTTTTATACTTTTTTTAAATCAATCTAAATACTTTGCTAGCCAATCATTTAAAACAAATTATTCATGTTGGTCTATAGTAAAACCAATTGCTAACCAATTGTTTGACTCATTTGTTAGCTAGCAAATAAACAGATGACGCTTGTTGGCGCATTAAAGTTTTACGTGTTACTGAAATAATTTAGCACCATAAGTAGCAGTAAATAATTTGTTTGTTTGTTTACAATGTTAATAAGTTAAACATAAGTCATTTTATAAAGAAAATTTCTCGAAAAAAGCGTTAGATAAAACTAAAAATGTCTCGAACGTGCGTTTTTTAAGTCAACTAAAATGTTTTCTCAATAAAAATAATAACAGAAATAATAATTTTTTTATAAATGTTTATCAAACAAAAAAGTACTCGAAAGTTTATTTTTTTTATTTAAGCATTTCAGAAGGCAACTTCACCAAAATAACAACAACACCAAAATAACGCCACAAAAGATGTAATACCAAAATAACAATGCTAAGATCATTAAAAAGGTTTTTAGATGATTGAAATTTGTTTGTTATCAGATTTTGAACAAAACAATTTTTTTTATCAGAATGAAGATAAAACAACATTTTATAAAAATTCATCTTTAAAAATATATATATACATATATATATATATATATATATATATATACATATATATATATATATATATATATATATATATATATATATATATATATATATATATATATATATATATATAAATATATATACATATATATATATATATATATATATATATATATATATATATATATATATATATATATATATATATATATATATATATATATATATATATATATATATATATATATATATATATATATATATATATATATATATATAAATACATATATGCATATACATGCAAACATATATATGATAAAAAGATATTAATTCAAATGTTATTTTATATTTAAGAACAAATGCTGATTATTGTTTTCTATTATTATTTTGAATAATATTGCTCTTATAGCCAAATAATAAATTTAATTTATTTAAAAAAATAAAAATAATGAAAATATTTTACTCTAAGTCCTTTATGAACGTTCTAATAGGATTATTATTGATAACTTTAAAAGGAATAACACATTTTTGTTTAGGAAAAGCAGAGTTTTGCAAACCCTAAAACAATAAAATTTTTTAAAGAAGTAATTTCGTCTTTCGAGCAATTATATAAAAAAAAGTTACTTTTTCGTAACAATGCTAAATAAATTTTTTTTTCACATACCAATGTGATGTTTTTAAAACATTACTGGCTGCATTTATATCGACATTACACATAATATTGGCAAATTATGGAAATCATTTCTTCTTTCCGAAGAATGTTGAAGCACATTAGAAAATATTTCTTTCAAACAGATTTATGACAAATGTGATTATTTTGCACTTAATGCAAAATAATAACATAGTAATGCACATACTTATATTATATCTCATTTATCATAATTTCAACATCATCTATTTTATCCGTATATTTTGTTATATAAAGGCTACGATAACAAATAAGTAATTTTGTAAAGTTTGTAAATTTAGTAATCGGTAGTAGGCCATTTAGTAAAATATGTTAGATTTTACTAAACTGCAGAATACCACAGTACCGTTTGAGTGAAAAACAATCCACAAAGTAAATTCTTGGAGAGTTTATATACGTTTTTTACCCGCGAATAAAAATAATCCGCAAAATAATTTATGCTTTAGTCTTAAAAAGTAAGTTATTAATTATGATGCGTTTTTAATTATACATTGCTATAAAAAACAATTACAAGATGTATTTTTTATGATTATGGTTTCAGAGAACGACGACAAAGATAAATAAACTGGTAAATTATTTTTATTTGAACTCTACTAGGCAATTCATTTTATTTTTTTAGCATTATTTTTAGAGCTAAATTGAGTAATAATTCTATTTCTTTAAAAATGACTGATAAAAATTTGAGATCATTATGATAGCAGTAACTGCGTCTAATGTTCAATTGCAAGTATTGAATGGTCAATCGCAAAAGTTAAATGGTCTAAGAATTTTTTTTTAGTGTTTAGAGCTAATGCAGGTTATTAAACAAATTAAATATACATTTAAGCGATTTTTTCATATTTTCAAAACGTTCAAAGATATTTCTGTGGAAGCAATTTTTTAAAAAAAGCAATTTTGTTTTATCTGCAAAAAATACGCTTTTCTGTTTAGAAACTTTATTCACAACGTTTCGATTTTTTTTTATGGTTCATTTGCAATTTAAAAAAGATGTCACGTTTATCAGAATACATGCCAGCCATTCATGCCAGCCATTCATGCCAACCATAAATGAGGTTCTTTAAAAATCAGTTCTAAATTAATTAGGCCTTAATTCATTTAGATTAACTTTTCTCAGCATGCACTTTATGTTATATTGTCTTATGGATACTTCAACTTTTTCATGGGTTTTACTTTTTTTTACTGGGTCATATTTTTGGGTCAACTTTGCATTTGTTGCGCAAATTCCAAGACTATTTAGCGTGTTTTTTTTAATAATAACTTTTTCAATATAATTCCAGTATTACAAAACTTGTTTTGAAATGTTTTCTGTGATAATGTCTAAAAGTTTTGACACTTTTTGAACTAAGTCTAAGCATCCGATAAAATAGACAAGTTATTAACACTTGGAGAACTTCAAAAAGTTATTTATTTCGCAAAAAATCCAATTCTTTTACACTGTAGTTTTTTCTTAAAAAAAAACAAAAACAAAAAAAACAACAAAAGAGTAAATTTTTTATTTTATTTACTTGTTTTTGCTATTGTTATTAATGTTATTTTTGTTGTTGTTGTTAATTTTGTTGTTATTGGTGGTGTTGGTGGTATTGGTGGTGTTTTTGTAGTTGCTGTTTTTGTTTTGCTAATATGAAATCGAATAATTACTAATGTTTACATATAATATTAAATAAATATAAACTGAATAAATAGTAATAAAAACAATATAAATATTAAAATATTTATTACTAAACAAATAAAGACAGTATAAATAATATTTAGCATATAAAAACAGTATAAAAAATTTCTTTGTAATGTTTATGTCTAACTGACTCTTTCTTTTTTTAAAGGTTAAAATTGATATATTTATATTAGCCATGACAAGTGATTCGATTGATAATTCTGAATTAATGGAGCATCAAAGTATTAAAAATCTATCTTATTTTATAAAACTGGATAAAGCGCATGAAAAAAATTTTACATCCTTATATGCACCGGAAAATGCATTGCGTGAAAAGATCATTCCAGTTCAACCACGTCACAATCAATTGCACGAAAAAATGCATTTAGAAGCTTCATTAACTGAAATTAATCAAAATGAAAACAATAATAAAAATTCAATTAATTATTTAGAGGATAACCCGCACAATGAAAGTATATACGAAGGTAACAGACCACCTAACTTTAGATGGTCTGAAAACTTTTCAATTACTGGGAGACATCGGATTGACACTTTAACTGAATTCGTTAGATGTGACCAGAGTGAAACATCAACTGATCTTGTTATACAAAATGATGCATCCACTGAAATTAATGATAATATTCTACATTTAAATGCAATTGAAATAATAAATAAAGTGAATATATCAAACAGTACAGATAAACTAAATATATTTGAAAAAAAAAACTCTGAAAATTTTATAAAAACAAAGAACATAGAAAACCAAATAGGTATTAAAAAATGCGAAGAAGCATCAAAAAACAATTCTTCAATTAAAAGAAGAGTATTGGGACGTTCTTGGAGTACGATCTCTGACCGAAATACGTGTAATACTTCAACAGCATCAACATTTACGAATGCAATATCATTGAAAGAGACAATAGCGCCAAAAAATGAGACCACTAAAAGAAGAAATCTAAGTCGTTCATTAAGCACAAACTCACAAAATAATAATATATTAAGTAATGTAAAGTTAATAAACTCAGAAGAAATTGTTGAAGGTAAAGAGCGCTCATGGAGCACAAGCACTGAAAGAAATAGTATATGCAGCACTACTCCTTTAATGACATCAGAAGAGGCTAACAAACACCAAACACCACAAAAACGTAAAGTACTTCATCGATCACTTTCTTCTTGTCTTAGTCGATTTAAACAAATTTCAGTTTTTCAAATGAGATCACATCAAAAACTTTTTAGTGAAGACGGGTTATCAGATGAAGATGACAGTGAAACGGATCTTATAGTTCACAATTTAAGAAAATGTGTTTCTGTTCCAGACTCATTGAACGAAGAAGATTTGGATACCTCAAAACTTTTTTTACCACGTCGAATGGCAATATGTTCTGAAGTAAGAACTCCTGCATTGAAACAGTTAAAAGCATATCTTGTTTTAACCAGACTTAAACAATATAACTTTTTGTAAAACTTTAAAAATTATGATAATATTCTAAGGTGTGTTAGTAGTGAGTGAGGTGTAAAATAGTACGGTTTGAATTTATGAGGGTGTTTGGGAAATGAATGCGTATGTAAAACTGAAGTGTATGACGTAATTGTTTGAGAATACTCGAAGAAATAACTGTTAGATTATGCGGACCATTAGCAAATACAAAATATTCATTGAACTGCACACAACGAAAAAAAACTCAAACGCCTGGCCTTTTAATAATTGTTGACATATCGCATAACTATTTCGAAACTAATTTAATTCCGCAACAACTATTTTATAACATAAATTTTACAGACGTTAAGTTTCCGCAAATTACGAATGAAAGCGTTTTCTTATTAAAATCTATTTATGTACGACTTTTAAATGACATTTTTTAACTATTTGAAACTAACAACAAGCAACACAGATGTAGGTTTTAAAATTACGTATGCTAAATAACGTGTAGCGCATGCAAATATACTTTGATGGGTGTGGGATAGCGTAAAAAAACACACAAATATAAAAAAAAATAGGTTGATGTTACTAGTATAATTTGTAGAAACCACATTAGAAGCACTAATTTTTATTTGATTATCAGGAATGTGGCAACTGCATAGATTATTGTTCGGGAAACGGTTGCAATATCTATGATTTAAGTTCTCTATTAGGGGGGCCCATAAAGTGCGTACCAAGTAAAACCTCTAATTTAGGATCCCATCCCCCTTATACGGACCTGTGCACATTTAAACTACCCCTCCCCCACCTCCGATTAGGTACGTATTTTTTATTACAAAAAAAAACACCCCCATTGGATAATTTATTTAAAACATTAAAAACAAAAAAAAATCTTTTAGTTAATTTGACAAATATATCTGTAACATAACATAATATTGAAATTTTAAATCTGAATTTCACTCCTTTCAAAATTCAGTATACTTGTTTAATTTGTGAGACTAATACCCCGTTCATACTGACGATAAAACACATTTTATTTTAAAAGCGTTAAAATTGTTATTGTAAAAAGCTGTATAAAACAATAATAAAACAATTCTGCGAGGTTGTATAGCTGTTTTATTTTTAGATTTCAGTTTATTTGGTTATTATGCTTTAATTTTTAAACACTCCATTTTTAAACACTCCAACTTATTGCCTATCGCCATACATATTTACATATACTTAATTACATAGACTTAATTAACCTATTTGCTTATCTGGTTTGAATTTTCTGATCATTATTTTTTAATTTTTTAGAAGTTACTCTTTACTCAATCACCTTTTTTTTTTGTTCTTTATTGTTCACCTTCTTTTTAAAACTTTTTTCACTGTTGTTTCTGATAGAATTGACTAAATCTTTTCTGTTTTTCCTTGATTAATATCAGTGTTAATAATATTAGTGTTAATCGTAACTTTTACAACACTATAGGGATTGGCTCTTATACCACGGATCTTTGCGCGCTCAAAAGTTCACGCTAAAATAATATTACCTTTTCTTAATGTATTACTTACACAGTTAAGCTCTAACCCTCTGTTCTTGGTTTATGTTTTTTACAAAGTTTTATAAAAAAAGTTTTTTCTAACTTCATTCATTACTCTCAAAACTATCTAATTAGTGAATTGAAGCTAATTTACCTGCTTAAAAAAAGGACATTTGTGGTTTCAACTTTTAAAACTTATTTAGATTGCTCTGACCCAAGGACGGTTCCAGACCATCGCCCCCCTCCCCTTTGGATTCGCACTTGCTCTGACTTCTACCTTTCAGTTCGAGGGTTCAGAGCAATGTCTTCCTATTTCTAAATTTAAACTTAAATACCTTTTATAAGATTATCTTAACAGGTATTAAAAATATATTAGGTCATCAAAGCAATTAAAAAGAATAATTACTGAATTTTCTAATTTTTAAAAAACTGAGAAAAACGCATTTCTAAAAAAACAAAACATAAATGTTCAGTTTTTGGACAAAGACATGCCTAGCATTAGATAAATCTGCCACACATAAATAATATAAGTTTGCTAATAAATTTTTATGTATCTGGTCAAAGTTATATTTTGTTTTGACGAGTAGCTTTATTTTATTAATTTCGAATTTATTTTATCTGTTAGTTTAACTTTCAAACTAACGTTTAACCATCTAAATTACACGTTGTTTTTTTTATAAGAAACCAAACAAAGGGGTTAGCACTAGAATGTTTCTTATTTTAACGTTTTTTTTATTTTTACTTTTTTCGAAATGTAGTACAAAAACTTTCAGAAACAATCGAAAAAGATAATACAATTTGAATACACATTTTTTTAATAAGAAATCAAGCAAATTTTAATGTTGTTAAGCAAAATTAAATACTTTAAATTAAATACAAAATTAAAGATAAGCTAAAAATTGGATTAGCTAAAAATTTTTGATTTCCTTCAATATCGTTCAAAGTAATATAATCTTCGGATTTTGTCCTTAAACAGAACACAATATTCTTTTAATTTTGTGTTATATCACGTAATTTTACGAATGTCATTCTACAAATTTTCTCAATATTTAATAACTTAATGATATAGGTTTTCATTCGCAATCAAATGGAATTCCATTCGAATTGCACGTGCAAATTAAAGACTCGTTTATACTGCTGTTCTCCTTTGTAGATAATGAAAACATCGTGTAATGTTGATGTGATGTTTTGTGTAAATAATGCTAACTTCGAGTAATGTTACGTTGAAAAATTCTTAAATATTTTTTCTTTTTTCTTAAAAATTTCTTATTGAAAAGTTACTTAGTACAAAAAGTTCCTTTACATTTTGAGGTTTCTACTACAGGTTTTTTTTTAAAAAAAACAAAAACGACGTGTATTTCTTTGGAAATGATTTAGATGATACATAACAGTGACCCCCCTCCCCCCACAAAAAATTCTTGCATCCGTCACTGTTACATAAATTTCGTAGTACCCACAGATTTTGAAACATGGTCTATACATTCACCTTTTTCAACTGACTGTCCTGGATAGGAATTAGTCTTTAACTTGTGATAAAGATATATCCTTTTGCAAAGGTAGAAATTAACGAATTACATTTAAACGCGTTAGTGTGACTGAGTATTTTTTGTGCATTTCCCTAAAGTTTCCGGGTTTTCAGGCAAAAAATAAGGCTCCGGGAATTTCAAAGAAAAAAATATAATCTCCACTTTGGGAAGTTTTAGGAAAAATTCCATGGTAAATACTTAAATTATTAAGATTCAAAATTTTAGAATGTAAAGATTATTAAATATAAAATGTTTATAGTCACTTAACCAATTTATTGAGAATGCTCAAACAATTTTTTTGGTTACTACTGAAAAAGTGATTATCCACTGAATTCAAGGTTTAAAATTTAACCTAAAAAAAAAAGTCAAAAGGGATAAATTAATTAGAATTTCAAATCCAAATCAAAACGTAAAAAAGTTAAAGTGCAGCTGCACTTTCAATGATGTCCTCCTCTAAAAAAACGTTTTCTTGATTAAAGAAAAAGAAAAATGATTGAGAAGCTGAATGCAAAATTTGCCCTGCTGGAACATATATTTCTGTTTCTCGCAATGGTAAATAAATTTACTTATTTTAACCTTATTTATCTAATGTATCTTACAATGCATCAATGTATCTTACAATGATAAATAGGTCAAAGGTTACGCAATACGTGTAAGGTTTGACTTATTAGTAGTCCCAATACCAGTTATGTGATCCCTTGGATGTTCTTGCTCTGTTCCCACAAAATATTGATCCAATAAAAGTGATACTAATAACTGATACATGTTATTAGTTAGAAACAAGTGATTAATAAGGACTAGTTATATAATGGAAAATTAATGCCTGGTTTGCAATTATACACATTTTATTTTTCGTAAGTCTTTGAATATTTTAATATTGAACAAAAATTTTATGAATTGTTGAGTGTAGGGAAGATCGGGATGATTGCCGCTCTTGACATCTATTTACTCTTTGCGCTTTATAACCCTAAAGGAAAAATTTTATGAAAATTTTAACGCGCAGTCTTAAAAAGTTTGATTTTAAGTAACATTTTTAACTTGCATTCATTATAAAAAACACTTCCTTGTGGGCTGTTAACACGGGGGTGCATTTGATGGGACGTTCCGTGGAACATGGAACGTGAACAAATATCCTCTCGTGTGAACGCAAATAGAACAAAAATTCAAGGAACATTTGAGGAACTTTTATACCGTCCCACCAACCCAGAACAAATAAATGTTCCGGAACATTTATTTGGTTTTGTATAAAAAATTGTGCCTATTTTCAACTATTTTTAAAATAAGCGTATGCATATAAGCTAAATGATTCAATAAAAAATGCATTGCAAGATGCAAATTTGTTGTGAAAGTAACTCAAACTATTTTTTTTATAAAGTTGTTGTCATCTTAACCAGAGATTTTAGTCCTTGATCTCTGCATTGTCCTAGGTCTTGGTCATATATCAAGACGAGACTATCGATATACTATTTGCCTTTCAAAATGTTGCCTTGAAACTTTTAGTTTTTGCCTTCCATCTTTTTTATTGAAATCAAAAAATTTCTTCGAATATAATTTCACATCTTTATTCATTAAGTAAAAACTTGTAGTAATTTCATGCAACCAAGGAAATTCCGATCCCACTCGCGTGGGATCAATCATGAGTGGACCAGATGGTGGGCAATTATTTAAAAACAATTATTTGGCCATCACAAATTTCAAGTTATTTTTAACGATATTTAAAATTTGTATAAATAGAATAGAAATTTAATTATTAGTGTATTATTAATTTAAAAAGAAATTATATATGTGTGTTTAAAAACTTAATCTTAAAATATAACATTACAAAGACAGTATTATTCTTATTAAGATCAGTTTTAATTTGAATTAACAAGAAGTATAATTCAAGGTAACATTTAACTTGCGTTAAGAAAGTTTAATTTTCATTGTTTAATAGTTTTTATTTAATTAAATTCTTTGCAAGCATTGCTATTAATGCATTTTTAATAAACTTATAGTAATTTTATTTATAAAATTCAACTTTGAACTAATAAGCAGAGTTGTTTATCATTGGCCTTGCCAGCAGTGATAATAATAATAAAAATGATAATAATTATTATTATAATAGTTATAATAATAGAATAATAATAGTAATAATAATGATAACAATAACAACAATAACAATTGTTAATACTATTATCATTATTATCATCATTGTTATTATTATTTATATTAATATTATTAATGATATTATTATTGGGATATGTTGTTATATATGTTGTTATATTGTTATATATATATATATATATATATATATATATATATATATATATATATATATATATATATATATATATATATATATATATATATATATATATATATATATATATATATATATATATATATATGTTGTTATAGTTTATCATATATTTTATTTATATGTCATATATATTTTGTTATATTAGCTTTGTCTTATCTTGTTATTTTAATTTGTGAACATTGTCATTAGTATTTTCCTCATAAATATTCTGTATTTTACTTAATATTAGTTAATTTACTGTTTCTGAATAATTGTAAAAGTAAGACCTTTATTCAGAATATATATTATTGATTGACTGTATTGATATGACTCTACCTTATATCTTTGCCACAATGTACTACAATTATTGACATTTAAAAATAAAAAAACAATAGTGTTGAAAGATCAATGTTATTAAATAACATAATTATCACATTGCATAAAAAAAGTAAAAAAAAGTAAAAGTAGAATCTGAAAGTTTCTGTTCTCTTGGCTACCAGTTTTTGGAAATTTATTAAATTATTTAGATCAAAAACATATAATATAAAGATCATAAACATATAATATAAAGTTTTTGAATTATAAAAGGAATCTTTTAATATTGGCTAGATCAATTTGTAAAATGCTATGTCTAAATAGATCCTTTTTGAAAGTCAAATCTTTCAAAGTCAAGAGATAAATTTTGATTGAAACATGATTTATAATCATTTCTCAAATGTGTAATTTTTTTAATGTGTATATTTTATTTACAGATTGCCACAATGGAAGATGGTAAGGAGACTGTCAGTATTTTAAATATTGAAGCTTTGGATGATACAAGTGATGTGCAATCAATTGTCACTATTCCTGATGAGGAACTAACTCAATCTACATCCAGCTGCAATAAACGAAGGAACTCTGATGATAAAAAACTTTGAATAAAATAGCAAAAACCAGTGAGAAAAAATAAAAAAACAAATTTTTCTTCTGAATATTTAAAAATAGCAAATAAAAATCTAGATGTTCAAATCCGTTCACAAGAGCTACGAATCAGAGAGGTTGTTGCTTTAGAGCGTATTTGCGATGCAATTGAAAATGCATCTAAAGCCCAAGTAGATGTGCCTAAAGCCCAAGTAGAATATTATAAATTTTTAATAAAAAAATAAGGTGTTCTATTAGTCAAGATATCTTTTTAGTAATTATGTTAAAGTTGAAAGGTCAGTATTTTTTCAACAGTATACCTTGTTTACAGTTCTATGCAATATATATTTCATAAGGTTTTTCAATGTTTTAACTAAAGAGATGCTTAGTGAAATATTGTACAAGTTTGTAGATAAAGCTCTATTTATATATATTTTTTCATGTTACCATATTACTATTATCAAAGGAATTTTTACATTATGTAAAATAAAAATGTTTTGTGATTTCAAGCATTAAAATGCATATCTGGTGGTATTTTTTAAATTTGTCATGTTATTTTATAAATACCTTTTTTTGTATCTCTATGCTATATATATTTAGTATTTTTACCAAATAATTTTTTTTTGCGATATGAAGCAAGCCTGTAAATGAATTATAGTGATATGTTTTTTGCCAACGTGTTTTGTTTTTAATTTAAACAAATTGCATTACATGTTTCATTTTTGTTTTTGTTAACAGATCATGCTGTATCAATTCTAACAAAATGATTTTTAAAAATGCGTTTTAATTTCCCTTGAATTGTAATATAATAAGTATCATATTTATTTAATATATTTATATAGTTTTAACAGCTTTTTAGGGAGACATCTGTAAAGGAAAAAGCTATTGGAAAAACATGGAAAGCGTTTTGGCCGTACTTCGATCAAGAAGTAGAACATTAATCAATGATGAATCAATCACCCATTTTCATATTTAGATTTAGCTTCCTTTAAGTTAAATCAACAAGGGTATCTGATTGAAAGAAAAGTTTGGGTTAGGACGAAAAGTTCTCAATGGTTTAATGAGATTTTTAATCAAATGGAGGAATGTGAATTTAAAGAGCATTTTCGAGTAAATCGTAACACCTTTAATTTCCTAGTTAATGAATTGCATCCACATTTAGGCAAAACTACCACAACTATGCGAGAACCTATTTCAGTAGTAAAACGTGTTGCAGTTGCATTACATTATCTAGCTTCATGTGAAGAGTATCGTGTTGTGTCTAGCCTTTTTGGCATAGGAAAGTCAACAGCAAATTTAATTGTTCATGAATTTATTAATGCTGTTAATGACATTTGGCTCTCTAAATATGTTAAATTTCCATTGTCAGTGGAAAATTTAAATAAACATAGCAGAGATTTCGAAGCTATTCTTGGTTTTCCACAATGCGTTGGAGCTGTTGATGGATGCCACATCCCTATTTTAGCCCCTAAAGATCAAGCAATTTCTTATTATAATTATAAAGGGTGGTATTCCATTGTACTTTTTTCCGTTGTAGACTGTCAATACCGTTTCATTTATACAAGTGTTGGATTGCCAGGTAGAAATAATGACAGCTATATTTTGCAGAATTCTTCTTTGAAAGCAATTTTAGAATCAAATCTAATTGATAAATTTTGTAAAGAGCTGGGTGATTCTCTTGTTCCGCTATGTTTGATAGGTGATTCAGCATTTCCTTTAACGCGTCATTTGTTAAAACCTTATCCTGAAAATTTGGAGCTTAGTGAAATTCAAAAAAATTTCAATAAAATACTTTGCAGAGCTAGAAGAGTAGTTGAGAATGCTTTTGGGCGCGTTAAAGCTCGATTCCGTGTAATTTGCAAACGTATGGAATGCGATATTAACTTTGCTACAAGAAATGTTAATGCTTGCGTCACTCTTCACAACATTTGTGAATATTATGACGATATTATTATAATAGAATGGCTTATGCATCATCATGATGACAGTCTAGCTCAACCCAATACAGTTTCTACAACTGGGAACAATGGACTAGGAAAAAATGTTCGTGACTCAATTGCTAAATACCTTTATGAAAGGGACAAGTAAAGCAGTAATATTATTTATTATTTAAAGCTTTAGCTGTAATATGGTTATGTATTTACTTACTTTCCTTGAGGTTATCAAATGTGTCTAAAAAAATAAATATTAAACATGTATGAACACACAATGAGATTAGTTTTAACTGGTCGTTGGTAACTTATTAATGTATAATATGTTTATTCGGTACTATACCACTGATGGACTACTATTCTGTGTCGTCAAAAGCGACTAAAGGAGATATGACCTATCCATAAAATCCAAGAAACGGGATAACAAAATTCCAAAATCACCTTTTGTATGGCGGGTATTTTGGGTTGGGTTTCTATTGTCTAACTCTGAGCTAGCTAAACCCTCAGCGTTATTTGTATTTAGTTTTACCTCTCATAAATGTTTAAATATTAAAAATTAATAAATTATATTAACAATGTGTATTTGCCAAACTTTTTGTCACTAATTTTTATTCGAGTTTTACCTACCGTTTTTTTACTCGTTTTTTCTTTTATGTACCGTTAAGCCAATTTTGCATGTGAACGCTACAAGTAACATTTTGTTCCAGGAACATTTGTTCCGGAATAATGTTTCGCCGAACATTGTTAGTGTGAACATGGTATTAGGGCTCTTTAAAGGCTTCAAAAAAAAAAAAAAAAAAAAGTTCGCTAATTTAAAATTAAAACTTTAAAAATGATCATTAATGTACTATTAAATGCGGCCATGACGCAGTGGTTAAAGCGCTTGCTTTATAAGCAGGAGATCCAGGTTCGAAACGAGCCTTTTTAATTCACGTGATCAAATCTAGTGCAAAACAAACAAAACTTTTATAATGAAAGTTACGAATTAATAAAGATTTTGATGTTTATTTTAAATTAATATATTAAAATTATTATTTTTCTTTATTACTAAAATAATATTGGTTCCTTTCTATTGTCTATGGTTTAAAAACTTTATTCAATTCAAAATGTTTCTTTATATTCTATATTTAATAAAAGTCTTAAAGATAAATCCAAAATGCCAGGTTCAAATTGTTGTCTACCAGGATGTACAGTTTCAAGATCTATTAGGCACAAAGATATCACCTTATTCAGAATTCGCATGAGGATAAGAGACTTCTATAAAAAATGGAGACAGAGATTGATAGTTGTTACCACTCAGTATAGAAATTAAATATAATCTAAATATAAACATAGCATATAACAAAATATATATAAGTTATTTGTATTAAGTTTAAAGTTTATGTTTTTATTTATTTTTTGATTTACGTTTTATACTTTTTCTTAAAGATTTTACTTTAAAACTTTGATCATTATTTTTTGCAGTTATATTTTTAGCCAATGAAAATGTACGAACTCTAAAATAAAGTTCTATCATTTTTTCTAACAAGTTAAACTTAATTTCTTTATCAATAAACACGAATTTCACATCAACTACGATATCATTGTAAAAACTTATAATATTAGGATCCTTTAATAGGTGATTTGTTAAATTCTTACTTTCAATATTTTGAAGGTTAGCAACTGCAATTTCTTTTCTAAAATGTTTCTCAGGTAGCAAGAAAATCTGGTAGCATTCTTCACATACTGCTGTTAAACCCCCTCTGTTTTGGGTATTTATAAACTTCTCTGAACTTGAAACTTTTTTAGTTGTTTGAAGTAATAATGCAATTATAGATTGTACTGGCTTTTTTAATTTTTTGTTGTTTTTGCCTTTTTAAGTAGATTTCTTATAACATACTCAGACTTATATTTATCCATCCATTTCACGTGGTGAAATTTCTTCAACTTCAACACTCTTTGAAAGAGAGCTTTGAAAATAGCAAAATAATTTATTGCATAACTTTGTTGTAAATACTGTTGATGCAGGTCTCTTTAGATTAAAATATAAGTCTGAAAAGAGAACAATATTGCTATAAAAGTTGAAATAATATTTTTCAGCATTTCCAGATGATTTTAATTTTTTTGACATTTTTCTTATTTCATCAAAAAAGTTTTCTGTTATTTTTATTTCAAAGTCTTTTATTTGTGAAATATCTTCTTCAGGATAACATATGTTTGTTGAAAAATCAGCTTTAGTTTTTGCAACAATTTTTTTTATATCTGTGACAAAATCATTATAATGAATATCTGTTTGACTCTTTATGGTATGTTTGTTTTTATTGTGTCGTGCTAAGCCTCCTTCTGTTTTATACATTTTAGATTTTTTTTTTTTTTTTTTTTTTTTTTATGTTAATTCACCTCCTCAAGACCAAGAAGGCGACTATAGACGAGAAGACTACTTATTTGTGGTTATAACCCTCTCTCATCTCTATAACTCCGAAACGCGAACCTTGACGAACAAGGCCGCTGCGCGGTGAAGCGAGTTGAGCGCGGTACTACCAGGGACGTGGTGGGGATTGAACTCGGAACCTCTCACTTATAAAGCGAGCGCTCTACCACTACACCACTACCGTATTAATTTGCAAATTTTGCACTTGAAGTCTCCAATATCGGCTACCTAATATATATTAAAAATAGCATTTATTATATATATATTTATATATACTTATATATATATATATATTTATTATATATACATATATATATATATATATATATATATATATATATATATATATATATATATATATATATATATATATATATATATATATATATATATATATATATATATATATATATATATATATATATATATATATATATATATATATATATATATATATATATATATATATATATATATATATATTATTTTAGTACGATTATCAACAGTAAATATTAAGATACAATAACTTTTAAAAATGTTTTTTTTTTTAATTTGACTTAATCATTTGCGTTAACCTTTACACCATTATAAACCATTCTAATTAAAATTTAAAAATTATTATTACCTCTAATAATGCATTATCAAAATATTCTTGCAAATTTCGTTTTAATCCATCATCAGCATTAATATTTATTATAAAATCAAGTGTTTCACCTGTAAAAAGATCTTCAGAAAACGCCATTTAAAAAGTTTGTTTTGCACTAGATTTGATCACGTGACTACTTTTTACGCACTTTTTAAGATACGGTTTTAAAATAAGATTGAAACAATGGCTTTTCTAGACCTGGGGCCAATGCTATATACAAAAAACGAAGTTTTTACCGTATAACTCGAAATTTATTTGCGCACCACACGGAGGTTTTGCGTAAAAAGTAAAAAAAAACAAAAATCCATTGCTATAAATATTGTTATAAGTATATTTATATATATTTAAAACAATATATATATATATATATATATATATATATATATATATATATATATATATATATATATATATATATATATATATATATATATATATATATATATGTATATTTATTTTCACAATATGTATATATTTTAACAATAATATTTATAACAATTGATTGCTCATTCTTTCTTTTTTCTTTTTTTTTGCTGTTTACGCAAAACCTCCGGGTGGTGCGCAAAAAATTTCGAGTTTTACGGTAAAAACATCGTTTTTTTGTTTATAGCACTGGCCCCAGGATTTTTTACTGACTATAAAATAACAATAAAAAAAAAAAAAAAAACGCAAAAGTTATAGAATTTTTTTTATTTTTTGTTTTGGCAACAATATTAAACCAAAATACTCTATAGATCCTGAAAAAACTATTGAATAAAAAAACTGAAAATAGTAAACTAATTGCGACAAACTATTTTCTTTGTAAAGTAAAAAGGACGCAATGTTCCAAAAGTTACGTTTTTGTCTAAAAAAATACATAAATTTAAATACTTCCATAAGCATGCACAAATCCTAATAGTACTTTATTGAATGAACAAATGGTCAATTATGAAGGTTCTATGTAAATTTTTGCATCTAATAAAAGGCACTGAAGATAAACGCAGTTCGTCAACAACCTTATCTGTCAACTAGCCCCGGTCTTCCCTTCTTCAATGATTGTAAGGCAATTTGAATCTGAACTTACATCTGTGTTGTGGTTAAAATTAGATTAACTAGTTTTTAATATCCTAAATGTATCTTTCTCATTAGCAAATTGTATTATAAAAACCATGTAAATAATTCTTGATTTAATTATTTTAAAGACAATAACTGAGAAGGGTTTTAGCTTAGTTTTAGCTTTTTTCCCTATAACTTCGTGTTGACAATAAAATATAACCGTAACACACTTTTAAAATCAAAAAAATCTATAATCAAGAAAATCCAAACAAAACCAGTAATAAAGTAACAAAAAGTCATATATAACACTTTTAACAAACACCCCTATGTTGACTTGGTAATAATATAACTCCTTTGTAAATTTTTGCCTGCGCTCGCTGCGTTGTAAATTTTTGCCTGCGCTCGCTGCCTGTCTGATTGACCGCTTACATTTTCAAATGCACGTTTTATCAGTAGCAATCACACCTGGTTCATCTTCGGGTGATATTTTTATTTTCACTCATTTTGTTGGATTTGTCTGTAATTTCAAATGGTAATAACTTTTGAATAGGTCGAAAACAGGTTGTTCTAGTTAAAATAAATTAATTGTTTGACTTCTAGGGATTTTGGAATCATATCGTATAAGAACTACATTGTTTATTGCTAGCTGTTCGGTGTATGAAATTTTACCTTTTAAGTATAAATGGTGTTGTTTAAGATAAGAAATAGCAAATTTTTCCCAAAAGTTAATTATTGCTGTTTTAATAAATTTAGTTCTTTTCAAAACATATTTACGTCGTATCCGAACTCCATACATTTTATTATGAATATTTCGCCCAAACATTAAATGGTATGGTATAAACGCTTTTTCAGTGTCATTCTCGCTTATGTAAAATAGTGGACGACTGTTTATCACGGATTCGATTACACATAGTACCGTATCTAGTTCTTTGTAAAAGGTAAAATAGCCCCTCCAATTGTTTTCTTCATTGTAATTTTAACAGATCTAACTAAATGTTCGTAGAAACCACCCCACCAGGGCTGGTAGAATAAATTTCTGTTGCACATCATTTTTCATCAAAAACAT